ATTTGAAAGCAGTTCGCCACACAATTCCTGTGGTGAGGAGCTGCTTGTTCCTGCTGAAGGACATGTGTGGCATATGGGATTTTTAACAGATACACTGAAATATAAGATAGATGTCAGGGCACAAGAACTACCAGGTGGAATTCTGTGGCTGATCTTAAGCAGGGTATCAGATGTGGTGATCTCAACCTTTAGTCCTTTCTACCACTGACTATTTGATGATTAGAACAGCAGAATGATAGAGTCACAGAATGATTTAGGTTAGAAGAAACCTTAAAAAACAAATAATTCCAATCCCCCTGCTGTGGGCAGGGACACCTCCCACCAGACCAGGTTGTTCAAAGCCCCATCCAGCCTGGCCTTGAACACTTCCAGGGATGGGGCATCCATAGCTTCTCTGGGCAAAGAGAACACTTATCAGTTAGGATGTCTTTTGCTTGCTTTTCCTTGCCTGGCCTGCTCTACCCAAATGTAAATTGTTTATGGTTGTCCAAACTGGACAAAGACACACAATGGTTTATCTGCCTCGTGTCATCCAGATGACAAAGCTGTAAGCGACTTTCTTGTTGTTAGTAGCCCCAGCTGGAGGAGAAGATATGCATGAAATAAAGAAGTCACTTAGTTCCAGTCACCCAACATTCTGTCTGAACTCTAAGCTACTAGTCTTTGTTGAGACAGGAGATGGATGTATCCTATAGATGAATATATAGAATTCTGATGATAACAAAATATTTGTTAAGAGGTTGCTTCACTGACCCAGTTCCATTTCTTCCTTCCTGCAGTCACCACCCTAGGCGACTGCACTGTGGCCAGACACCAATATCTGTTTTCTCAGACTCCTCATGAAAACTCATCATCTCTGTCTCTCTAGCATCAGCTATTCTCTTCCTTCCCTTGGGCATTGAGTTCAGTTTCACAGATACAGTTATTCTCCTCAGTCTCTTAACTCTGAGACCAACCCAGGCCTTGCAAAGAGGCTCCATTTTCATACATCTAACACAGATGATACCAAGAAAGACGAAAAAGGGGGAAGTCTTAATTTATTTACTTGAAGAAAGAAGAAACCAAAGCTTCTTTGGACATCAAGTATGTTTTTTTTTTTTTCTGGTCTTCCTCTGCTGATGGAAAACCTGGGTTTGTTTCTGAAAAGGATGGAGTAAGATGTGATTAGCTTTGAAAATTCCTGAATGGCTCAATGGCTCCTTTAGTCAAAAAAAAAAAAAAAGAAAAAAAAAAAAGAAAAAAAAAAGATAGTGGACAAGCAACTAGTTAGAAGGGACTTTATATGATGTAAAGATAGTGCTGATCTTGCCAGAATCCTGTCATTCATGAGACATTTGTGAGAAGTGTACTGGCTCTCTGTGATTTCCAGTAAAGCAAACAAACACTCTGTGTGCTCAGCATTTCTTAGCTCCAGTCTGGTTAATATCTTGGAGCTTCTGTTTTCACAGTGAAAACAGGGATATGAAATGAGAACATTCAAACTACTTTAAAATGTTTTGGAAAGTATACTTGAATTTCCCATAACTCTGTTAAAGATATTTCTGGCATCAGACTGGTCCAAATACCAAGGGAAAAAAAAATATGTTCAATGCCAACAACTTTCAGTGTATCACCTGTTACTTTTTAGAAACAGATTCTGGGGGTCAAAAAATAGTTGATTTTTCAGGGTGTTCTTAATAAAAAGGAAATATATTCAGACTATTGCTGAAAATAATAACTTCTGGACTAGGAAAAAATGTTGAGAAAAGCCAGAGAGAGTATGAATATACTCTCTCTTCTGCAGACACAAATTCCCAAAGATACAACTGGCAATACATACCAGTATGTAACTGTCTTCTTGAACATGTGATATTAACCATGAAGATGTTAATAAAATTAAAGTTTTTGGGACAGGATTTATTTCAAAGATGTGGAATTTTAAAAACACTAGTAGTAGTCTTGTTATTATGGTGTTCTATATAAATGAAGATGAAGAATATTTGTAAGAAGAAAGGTAATATTTTACTGGATATCCTTATGATGGATAAACTTCTGGCCAGAGGGAAAAAATGATGAAAACTAAGAAAGAAAAGAAACTAAAATCTTTTTTTTTTTTTTTTTTTTTTTTTAGTTAATGATGGAGTTTTATGTTTCATAAATGTTTTGTCTTCATTGTTCCTCAATATTGGCTTCAGGGCAATAATGAGGTCAAACAAAATCATTCAACTGAATTAGTTTCCAGAATGCAGTGCAGTCAGTGAAAGGTTTTTTAGCCTACTTACATCAGCAAGGTCTAATAAAATTATTCACTTTCTGTCAAGATGCTTTCATCAGAATTTTGTCTTTGGGTCCAGGCAGTATTCTCAATCTTATACCAGTTTACTTTTTAAATTCAAAGTGCCTGAAACTTTCTTCAACCTCATAGTCTTCACTATGAAGGACAGGAGCAGGTATGGAGCAAACAGATCTGCTCTTTCAGAATAAAAGATTCACATGTGATCCATAATCTGTTTTTCCCTTTGCTTTCCTTTCAATTCTGTTCCGTTCTGTTCTTAGTAATTCAGATGATGAAAAGTTTTCAAGTAAGCTGGGTTTTCATAAAGATACATACTTTTTTTTTTTGTTTGTTTGTTTTGTTTTGTTTTAGGTGGTCCAACACTGGAATAGGTTGCTCAGAGAGGTTGTGGAGTCTCCCTCCTTGGAGATATTCAAAACCCAACTGGACATGGTCTTCAGCAACCTCCTCTAGGTGACTGCTTTAAGCAATGGAGTTGGACCAGATGTTCTTCAGAGGCCGCCCCAAACCTCAGCTATGCTGTTACTGTGATAGAGAGTGGACAAGACTAGCTAAAGAAAATCTTTTCTCTTGAATGGGTTTAAATATCTACCTTAACAAAAACACTGTGTCAGTGCTCCCTTATTGCTTCTAGCTGTTTTTTCTTGCAGATGAACATTGAAATAAGGACTCATTTTCCTTAAGAACTAAGTGTGAGATGAGAAATTTAATGTCTGATTGGATTGTAACTGTGCCCAACATTGCCAGGGGGCAGTGCTCAGCAGTTCTGCTCTTGGCTGCTCCCGTGCTCTGCAGTGCTCAATGCTTTCATGCAATGCTCTATGTCTGATGGCAAATAATGGGGTCAAGTTTCTACTCCTTACTCCAGTAATGTACTTCAGCTCAGCTACCTAGGCAGGTAAGGCAACAGTGATTTATACTATGCCTGTTAAAGCCCTAACTAGGGCAAGGCTTGAGTCATGACTACAGCACTGAATATCTAGTCATAATGGCCATATTAAGGAAGAAAGAAACTATTTTCCTAACCATTTTTCTCATACTCAAAAGTGGCAAGATCATTTTCACTTAAATTCTCATAAAAATATAGCCTTTGGCAACAAGTCAAATTCTTAACCTGTAAGTCTTTGGGATGATTGACAGTATTGACACGATTCATTCTACGTAAAATAATATGAAACCATATTCACAGACCCTACAAGTACATACATCAGTATGTATGGCTAAAATCCTCTGTTTTTAAGTATAATTGTCAGCTAAGCAAACAGAACCATGAAATAAAAACTGAAAATTGATCCTTTCACCAACTGCAACCTGAGAAAGAGCTTAACAGTGCACTTTAAACAAACATTGCATAACATAACATATATTGAAGCCGAAGACATATTTTAGATTAGATATTTTATTTGTCCATTACATGATAAATATTGGTTCTGGCCAGCCTCCAGTGAGGGGAGTCCAAGTTAAAATGAAGTCTTTAAAGAATATGAGACCCTAGCGTCCCATCCTAGAACAGGCCAAAGGTGCATTTAACTTCATCCTATGTACAGAAGTGGCTGAGAGAATATAACAAGAATAATGAGGGAATATTCAGCATATAATGATAATTCCTCAAAATAGTTTCCCAGTCTCCAATGGTCGGTGACCTAAGGACATCTTGAATCTGGAAGAACAGTGCTGGAGAACTTCTCTTCCATGAGCTTGATGGAAAGCTTCTCATCTTTCAGCATCACAGCATCCTACAGCAGGGCTTTGCGTTAGCTGCTTAGATACTTTGAAGATGAATCAAGACCTGTGGCTACTAAACTTCCAGCATGGAAATTCTTCATTTTTTTAACAGCCGGAATGATAAAATTGTGGCAGTGCAGCGTATGTTCAGACCATCTGACATCATATGAGGATGCTCTCAGATTGACCAGTTCTGAGGACCTCCTGCAGTTCATCTGGCTCAGCTGAGCACTGAAGGCATACCTTTGGGAAAACTCCAGAGTCAGTAAGGGAGTCTTCACTAGTCACCATTGCTCTTGGTTATTAAAAGTTATCCAAACGTTATTTCCAATTTTGAGAGTAATACTGGCATTTAATAATAGCATGTTTAAGAATAAGAGAGTAGTGATAATAAAAACTCAGATAAACTGTAAATATCTGTATGTCTAACTATGTTATGGTTAATATGCAATATTTATTTTGAAAAGAAATTATCCAGTGGATGAAATATACATGGGTATTTTGTAGTAAAATGGCCAAGGCTAATCATTCCAGGTACATTTCCTAGGTAGTGAGGAGACAACTTCTAAAGCCTTTTCTTGTGGAACAAGGGCATGATTTTACTTGGACAGGAGTTCCTTCCGTAGTTTTCATGTGGGTTCTAGATTGGAAACCATGTACTCAGCCTTCACTAATATTTCATTGTGCAATTATCTGCTTTATTTTCATCCAGTGCTGTGGGGGTGCAATTTTCACTGTCTTTGAATGAAGCACATGCTTTTGTCGATGTTTCTGTAAATGAGCTTTGCTCATTATTATAGGACTTTAAATATACACAGCCTGATTTGAGTAATTTGTTGAATTAGTCCTGGGAACAGCTGTGTTCATCACTTTGTCATCAATGTGGTGCAAGAAGAGACACCCTGGGAAGGCTATGAGGAGGAAATGCTGTGTTTCATTGGATAATGTCTACTATGCTACTTTTTTTTTCCAACTGAAATACATATTTAAGAGTGATACATATATTTGATTCCCTTTGAATTAAAAAGACATTCATGCTGTTGTACTGGGGAGTAGCTTCCAATCTATGAAGATCTCTAAGTGGTATTTAGTGATGTTCTCTTGCATACAGGTGAATTTTCTAGCCATTCTGAAAACACTATTCATAGCATTCCTGTCAAATAAAAGAACAGAGGAATTTAATTTTCCTTTCATAAATATTAACTGACTATTCACAATGTACAATGTTGAAGAATCCAATAGATTTCCTAACTTGAAGGGTTATATAATGACTGTCTTACAACTGGTTTAGCACACATTTTTTTGGACACCTTTACTCTTTTGAAACAGTATGCATCTGATTTGCCTAATTCTGCTTACCTGAGATGGGAAGAGCAAGGGAGCTGGTGATATGGTAACGATTTCTTTCCCCCTCTGAGGCTAAAAGAATGAGATATTATCCCCCTGCAGAAACAGCAGATAGTAGATGACAGCATGACAGGGACTGTCCAGCTATTAAGACCACTGAGTCCTTCTTCAAAGGTGGCATTTGCTTTTGTTTTGAAAAAGATTTGGGAGCTTTTTGAGGGCCCATTGGTTTTCTGGAAAGATTTTCTTTTCTGGCCATGAGTATCTGTAAGCCTTATTCTCCAGACTGTCAGTGCCATCTAATACTGGAGTAACCCTACAGTTACAGCCGTCATGGCAGGAATAAATAAGCAGCTAGTGAAGAGTTTGTGAAGTGCAACTGCTGTCCCCCTGGTGTATTAAAGTGTTCGAAAATCAGACCAGTTAACTTTATTTCACCTGTGTCACAACCCAGGAGTTAGTCTGTGGCTATTTGCTCATCTGTACCCCAAGACTGGGACATCTATTGCATATGTGAAGCGGAGAGCTGTTGACAACCACCTCACCCAGTGATCCCTGCAGACTGGCAGAACTCCTCAGGTTTAAAAAGAAATCCAATTTATTATAATTTAAAAGAGCAAGGAAAAACACTTCCTTGTCATGTAGAAGGATTTATATGATGCTTCCTGAGAAAATAAATACACTGAATAGTGTATTAAAGCATGTGCATTACATCTTGTAGTGTCAATACTGCTTCTTTGGTGCTAGTGACTGGAAGAATTTTTTTTTTAAGGAAAAGCATGGTTGGTAAATCGACAAAATGTACAAGAGACAGTTTGCAGCAAACACTTTCAGAATAAGGTTAAAATATGATGTGTGTTGCAAAGCCTGAGAGATAAATAGAGCTGTTAAAGCAATCAGTTTCTGAGCTCTGATCAGGAGAGCAGTTGTGTGATGTACAGGAGAAAAATCAATGTTGCAAATAAGTTTTATAATATTCATACTACAACTGTCTTTACAGTGATTGCAGTATATGTCAGATTTTAACGTTAAACATAAGACTTTTGGCATACTAAGAGTGTTCATTTACTGGGTGGCATTTTAATTAGTCTCATACAGAGTAATCTAAGGTCCCTGCTTCACAAGATGCTGTCTTAAAGAAATATTATATTTTCCCTTTTATTGTCAAATTCTCTTGGGTCTCTTTAGAAGGCTAAAGGGGTATTTGACACACAGAAACTGTATCAATTCAGGCCACTTCTTAGGAGAATGATTTCTGCATATTTAATCTCTCATCCAACTATGATTCAAATTAATGGATTTTTTTTTCATTGAATTCCTTGGAAATTGAATTAAATCTGTATTAAGTACCGATCAGGAAAAAAAAGCAACAATCAATCAAAAACAACAAGAACAAAAAACAACCTCAACATATCAGACGCAGATTTGTTTAAAATGTTCTTATCTTTTTATAGACAGTATATCAGACTCACTCTCCACAGCTTTGGGTAATTTTGATGCATAGCTAGTGCCAATGTTTGCTTGGTAAACTCTGTGCCAGACTTTGTGCTTTTTTATTTATTTTTCTTATCAGCAGAAATCTGAACCTTGTTAACACATAAGATGCTAGCTTGAGCCTCCTGTTTTTTTTTTTTTTTTTTTTTTAGCCTGATAAAAATGGTTGTAATAAACCAAACAGCTCATGTTTATATGCACTGTTGTTACTGGTTTAGTCACTATACAGTAAAGCTACAGTTTACAGCTGCCTTTGATTTTGTTTCACAGGTTACTCACACCTCCCTGACCTGCCTTGCTGTGAAATCCTGTTCTGATTTGAGAGAAGGCACAAGGGGCTGTGAGGAAAACAGTTGGAGAAGGAGGAGGTGAATCTTTTTGCTGGTTTCATCACTGAGTGGTGTCCTTGAGTTACTTACAGGTAACAGCTTTCTTGATAATGTTGGTAATATTTGCAATCAATGAGGGCTGCTTTACACATTAACCCATTACTGTAAGGAACAGAGTTGGAAAAGATGTTTACCTGACTGACCTGAGTGTGAAAAACTGATGGTTGGAAGTTCCTGCCTCGTTTTGGGTTTTAGTTACTTTTTGTCTCACACGTCTATTCTGAAGACAAAAGTCAAGCTCTATTCTCAAATTTGGAGACTTTCACTTGAGAGCTCCTGGTAATTTAAGACACCTTGCTATGCCATGTCTGTGGTAGACAGATAACTTTTGTTGGAGGGATGTACCTTTGCTCTGGCTGTGGAAGTCTGCTGAGTTGTGGTCAGGGTATTAGCATCTGGTGTCTTTCACAAAAGCTCAGAAGTAACTTCCCAGCTAAACTTCAGTTACTCTTCCAGAAACACAACCTGCCTGAACACAGACTGTTTGCTAAGAGTTGGTACAGCAGGAACCATGGAGCCATCCTGGGTCTACTGCTGCACCCAGAGCACTAGGAAACGCAACACAAACATCTGGAGAAGCTTTGCATGTAGGCATCTCATGTTTTTTCAGGGCTTGTTACGTATGACACTGCCAAAAATATTTATGCTGCTAAGCTTACCCTGGAAGCAGCAGAACAGTATTTATCACACAATGGTGTGTGTGAGCTTTTAACTCTTACTCTTGCACTAATGACCATTAATCTTAATCTGGCTAAAATGACCATAGATAATTGTGAACTGAGTATTTCTAGGGACGAGGTACCCAAATGATTGTTTCCTTCCCTATTTCCTTTCATCAACTCCCTCTCCTGTACCCTCATCTCCATACCCTATGATGATAGGGGGGCATGGACACAGAGACATATCTTCCTCCATGTCTCAAACTTTCTTCCTGCAGTACACCACAGCCCTCATCCTCTCCAAAACACACAATATGGAGTGTGTTCAGCTCAGTCCTTTGGAGGGAAACAAGAGGAAAAAGAAAGTGGTATAGCATGGACTAGAAGTAAATAGGATGAGCTACTGGTGGTGCCCAAGTTGGCTTGGTAGCAAGCTATTCAGCATCTGAATTAGCATACAGATTGGCAGTTCATGTTTAAACTTTCTGAAGGATTAATTTTCAGTTCCAAAGATGTCTGAAGGATTAATTTAAAGTGTCATGACTGGGACCAAATTCCATGCAGAAATATGTTCTGAACAAATCAGAGAAAAACACTCCACAGTTCATTTTGCATGCCTTTCCAATTCTAATACTACAATATTTGAATAAAACTAAATGTATTTGATGTTACATGAAAAAAACAAAACAAAACAAACAATTAAAATATGATCTTCAGGCAAAGAATTTTTATCTCTGTCAAAATACACAATTTTGACTACATGTTTAAGACCTACTACATGTTTAAGACCTAAATTGCTCCCACAGGGATATATCCACTTAATCTCATATGTTCTACTGAGCAATTTATGTTTGCTTTAATATCCTGATTTGTATATTAGAATTCATAAACTGAAAATTAAAACTGTGATTTTTTTTAAAGGATTGTTTTTGTGTGCATCTGAATAACCTGTTTCAATATACATCTTTAATCAGCTTTATTTCACATCTATTACTTCTGCATTATATATTTGGCTTCATTTGTATTGCCACATCACACTTTGTTTGTATGACATAATTTGTTCTGTACTAAAGTTTCCAGAAACTTGACTACTTCATAGGCGTAGACCATAGCGGGATTTATAAAAGGTTTGCAGGAAGTAGGATATTTAGTGTATTACCCAAAATAAGAAAGTCCTCCAAAACATCAGGTAATGTTCTGTAAGTCTTTGATATTCTTCTTTATCCCCTTCTGCACACTTCTTCCCCTTGTTCTCTTACTTTTAATGTCAAGTTGTATGGGTAGACAAGGATGTAATGAGTTACTTTTGTGTGTGTGTGTGTGTGTGTTTGTGTGTGAATCAGGTCATTGACTTGACTCTCCCTTCTACACATTTACTTGGTAACAGAGCTGTAGTCAAAGTTCTCCTACTTTTCATTGTTTACTTATGTATTTTAAGTTAACTTCACCAATATCAATGGGAAAGATCAGACAAAACAGAGTAAACCTCTTCTGGTGGTGGTTTGTGGACTCTGTTAACATAGACCTTTTATATTTAGATTAGTGTAAAAAGATGATTTCTCCAGAATTGTGTGTCCTGAGATGTTCTTTCTTCTTACCTAGTGGAGTATTAACAGAATGGAGGGAATAGTTAACCTTTGCATCTGTACTTTGGCAACTAGCCCATGAATTAATAAAGATGATGAAAGCTGTGGAAAATTGCTTATTTCCTACCTTGTTCCAGAGAAGGGATTAGAGAGTGGAAACTCTCCAGAGACAGCAAAGCCGAGGCTGAAAAAAAGCTGTGAGAGGAAAGCTTAAAAGAGACACATGGGAAAGTTTGGGTAGGGGAAAGATAGGGCTGGGTATACTTTTGTAGACTAGGAACTATTGTCTAACCTGGTGATGAGACGAGCTTTGCTCTGTTGAGGAAAGGTAACTGTCACGAAGAAGACTACAATTCAGGAAGAAAACAAAAGATGAAGGTGGATCCTAGATAATTTTACAGAGGATAACACCCCAGCTCAAACAGCTTTGTAGAGTACTGAAGAAAACAAACCTGGATCCTGTACTGAGGATTAATTCTTTTTCATCTCTGTTTCAGTATTTTCCTGTATTTTTAAGTAAATAGCGATAGTGTCATGCAGTCTGGTAAATAGCCTGTTTTGTGTCTGTTCACATGTGTCTTGTATTCCTGAGGAGTGATACAGTTACCCAAAATATCCAGCCGGTTCATGTTTTGGGAGAATATAGGTGTAAACTGTTGACAAGATCAAGAATTCAGCAAAAGGGTTCACATGGGCATACCACTGACCCATAATTCCTGGATTTTAAAAGAGAGGGTATGGCAAACATGCATCTGGAGATGAAGAATGTTTCTGGAATCCCATAAAACTGTAAGGCATAATAATCTTTCAAATCACCAGAACTGATAAATATTGAGATAAGGAGATCTATACAAACTTCATAAGCTAATTTTTATCTAATTCTACACCTAATACATAGAAGATTATTAGGGGATTAACAGAATAGCACTTGTACATAGCACAAGAGCAGCAAAAATAGCATGCAGTTGCTAGAATAAGATACTCACACCCAGGTAAAAATGCCTTCAGGGACCCTGCTCTTTTTGAGTGGACATGTAGAGCTGTGCATTTTTCTTCATGGTAGTTGACCAGACCTTCAAGGCACACTGACAAATATGCACTTTCAGCCAGGACTGCATGTCTGGAGATTTTGCGTCTAGAAGTGCAGTTGAGTAAGGATGGCTGATTTTAACAGGAAATGTTATCTGTTTTACTGAATGAGTAAAAAGTGGTTTATTCTTGTGGTAGTCTCAACAATCAGCTTATCAGAAGGCATGCAGCACTCTGCAATCTTACTGTTAGAGGCACACATGCCTCGAGGTGATTTAACTGGCACATCCGTCTTGGCCTTTGCTAGCATTCAGACCCACACTCATGCACCTGCACTTGCTCCAGGTGCATAAAGGCTCTGAGCCCTGGTCCCAGCTCAGGGACTGGCACTTGGTGCCACTTGGGTCTCCCCAGTTGCTGGCACCCATGCACATGGGTGCTCTGGCTCATGGTCCCAGCCCACTTAATTTGGATGCACTCAATCCAGATGCTGGCGCTCAGACACACAGGATCTGACCCCTGCTGCTGGTGCTCAGACTGCCCTACACACACGTACACATTTAATAGAGTCCCTTGCCCAGACAAAAAGATGGAAAGGAAATTAATTAGAAGACAGGACATACTGTGATGGTCAGGTACAGGGCAAAGCAGACAAGCATTCTGACCAGCCAACAATTTACATGTAGCTGTCCCTTTTTTACCACTCATCCCTCTATTTTCCCTCACTGATCCTCCCCAAATTGCCTAAATCCCTTCCTTTCCCTACCTCTGGTCCTTATAAACATCCCCTGATGAATCCTGTCCCATGACGAAACCTTCTTCCCTCACAACCCTTAACGTGCCTATGTCCCCAGGCAGCAGCCCACCCAGCACCATCTGAGCCCTGGACTTGGACTGCCTTTGTGTGCTCCTCTGTGCTTGTGGTGGTGATGAGCTGACGGCTGCTGTCATGGCCCTGGGAGTAGCTCGACAGGGCATTATTTGGGCTGCCCACCCCTGCCTGCCATTGTCTCTGTGCTTCTTTGTGGACAGGCAGACAAGCTTTTACCACATAACCTAAAACATCCTACCACCCCAGTCGCTGTTTGGAGACTTTGACTCCCCTCAGATCTGGCACACGCTGGATTATTCAAATGAAAAAAAATGACACAAATGGTGTTTCCATTGTAGAGCAAATTCTACGTGGGGCCCAAATTTTCATGGACTGATTAATAGGATCCCAGGAAACATTCCCCTCTTGAGGTCTTGATTTTTTTTTTTTTTTTGTCATATTGATGGTCAGAAGGAGTTTAGGGGGGTACCTTCATAAGTGGACCAAGATCCCTTTTAGGTCATTTTGGAAGGCTGATTTATTGAAGCCTTTGCTAGAGTCTGAATGAGATAAATGCAGATCACAGGAACAGTTATGGAAACCCACCTCTTCTTACCTACTAACTGAGAGCACATTCCCTTAAGTTTTGAGGGTACGTTTGGGGATTGTGTTGTTGTTTTATTTAACAGGGAATGGCTCTGCACAAGCAGATCAGCTCATTGGGTAACTGTCAGCTGACAGAGTCCTGTAGCTATCACAGCAAAGGTCACCAGACTCTTTCTGCAAAACTCCACAATCAGGAAAGACCAAGTCTGATATCTATGGGAAGTCAGAAACCTTTAGAGGCACAGTGGTGGTTTAAACAACAAACACCATTAATCTGGAGATTACCAAATCCTTTAATCTGTTTTTAATCTCCATGTTTTTAAAGCTGCTTTTTAGAAACTTTAAACCAACTAATGTTTTCCGTCAGTCTCCTGTTTCAGCGTTTGGCAGGATCAGAGTCTTTCTTATGCAAGACGTACCGTGTGAGGTTTATCCCCCCTCTCCCAGCTACAGTGTCCTGGCTGATGGCTGTATCAAAGGCTCACGTTACGAAATCTTGATCTTTTTTTTTTTTTTCTCACTCAAGAAATTTAATTCCCGTCCAAATCCCTCCTTATGACTTACGTCTTCTAATTGGTTTTTCTTCAGTAATACTGTTTTTTAATTATTATTATTATTTTTTTTTTGGGGGGTGCTCAGTTCCTAAGTATAATACATGCCTCCAATGAATAAGTGCCCTGACTGCCTCCTCTGGCAAATATACACCAGAAATCCAATGGTTTTTCACTCTCAAATTTTCTCCAGACTGTTCTGCGAAGATTGAAGTATGGGAATGAATTATGTGCTTCTATTATGAAAACACCAACTAAAGGAAAAAAAATAAGGCAAGCAGCTTTTGTGCTTTGCTAGAATAGCTGGTTACATGTTAAGAATCAGCAAAGACTCTATTTCATGGTACAGTAATTTCTAGCTAATGTAAGTGAAGCGATGCAGACGGTGCCAATTGGATGTGCTTTGGTGCAAGCTCTGATTCAGGAAATGGACTGAGCAGGAGTCACGTGGTGTCCACTTGGTTCAGCTGATGCCTGCTCACAGGTAGTCTTTATACATGTATACTGACAAATTTTTACAGAAAAGAAGTGATGAAGGTAAAAGCAAAAGATTTCCATAGACTGAACAATATTTGCATCAAAATGCAAGAGCTGTAGGGCCAGGTGATCCTGTGAGTGCTGCAGGGTGCCTCAGTGCCTGGGTGTGAATTCCCCAGGGCAAGCCATCGGTGGACCTCCTGATTGAGCTGCCCAATAGGCAGCTTTCAAAGATGGAGATGGGAAAGAATGGCATTTAGACACTTGGCAGAATTTATTTTTTATTTTATTTTTATTTTTTTGTGGGGAGAATGGGGAACTATTTTCTACTTCCTCTCTGCCTTGTGATCCATCCTCTTGTCAAAGATGTTAATGTTAAACCTGGGCATTACTTTAATTTTTGTACTGAGATCAGTGCAGTCTGAAGTTCATAAATTAAAGTCCGTTATAAATAATAATCATTATAACTGAGGCTATATTTTTACTAAGTCAGTGATCATTGATCAGCTGTTAAGCAATGATTGAGCTCATTAAGGGAAGAACATGTAAAAATAGTAATTTTCATCAGAAAGCCAGACCTTTCTGTTGCAATCCAAACAGAGAAGAACAATGATCAAAGAGCATGTTGGTCCTTCTGCCCTCCTGGGCACCAGCTGGAGGGAGAAGTTGGCCACCATTACAGGACAGCCAATAATGCACTAAACACTCTCCCAGTCCCAGTGCATTTTATCTTACTTTTTTTTGGGAAAAAAAAAAAAAAGGAGTTGTATAAGAAAATATCCCAGCAGAATGAATGCTGAAAAGAGCAGAACAGCCACAAGGAATGTGCTTATGCCAGTTAAACCATAGCCTGTAATCATGTCCTTCTTCTATCTTGATGTACTTTGTTTATAAATTCTGTGCTGTGATTATTTGCATATTTTTGGCATATGATGTTTTTGAGTTAGATAAACCCTTTAACCCAGGATGCAATTACATTTGCTTGTTTTTCTTGTTCAATTACATCCATATTCTGTTGATATCAAAGGGTTCAAGTGACTTAAGGTCTTTGTCTGCAGTTAGTTTTTTTTTTTTTTTCAGTTTCAAAAAGAGTAGTTAATTATTGCTTACAAGGTCCACCCCCCCACACACACCTCCTCCTCCCCCAAACCCAAAAAAGTAAAAGCCCTATTAAAAGGCACACTGTGGCTCTCTTTCCATGTAGCATTTCTCACTGTGACGGAGCCTGTGTGTGAGGCAGAGAAGAATGGAAAAGCCCAGGAAGAAATTTATTGATGTGGTAGATAAGGCAATGGTTGCTGCTAGCACAATGGATCGTGATGAACTGCTTTTTTCTTACAAGGGGATTCTCTACCCTGTTACTGTTTGCAGTCCCGAAGTGTTTAAAGCTATGGAGTCCCTTGAAGCCAGAAGTGACGATGTCATTTTAGCAGGATACCCTAAATCTGGTGAATATAACTTGCTTTCTTTGTAAATGAATTTGTGTGATATCAAATAAGTAGATTCTACTTACAGTTTTTAGAGAAAAAAGAAAAAGTAGAACATTTTTTTTTCTAAAAAACAAAACAAAACAAAACAAAACACAACAAAGCTAGTTATGAGGACATTATATAGGAATTTTGCAAATGACTGACAAACACCTGATTTTCTTAGCTATAGAGTGTAAAGCTTTTGTTATCTTTAATTTTTGTAGTTATGAATTTATATGCACAAATTGAAAAGAATAAAAATGTAATTCTCAAACTGGAGGCAACTAGATTTCCTGATGTTGCAGGATCTGCTCTTGCAGTTATGTTTGTAAAGACAGTAGCTTTGTATTTCTACACAGAATGAACCCATTGGTGCCTTCACATGCAGTGCTGCATATATATATATATATATATATATATATTTTTTTTTCTCATAAATGTATAGAATATCTAAAATCCATGACTACCAAAAATTATTTTGCAACATGTGGCAGTGGCCACATGGATTTTTATTGGGAGATTGAGAGCAGTTCTTTTCTGGGGTTGCTAGTTTACCCTACATCTTTGCTGCATCTCCCTGAAAGCACTCTACACTGGCTCTTGGATGTGTTACATATCCATTTTAATATAGCTATTTTTCTCCTTTAGCAATAGGATTCACAGTGCCTTACAGCAGATAGCCAGAGCTGACAGGTTTCTAAAGTTTTTGCTATTTTTTTAGCATGTTTTCTGTTTGAAGAAATGTTGTACACTAAAATGCAGTTCTTAAACTCTAATGACAAAGACATAGTAACCCAGTGTCCACAGGTCAGGGAATAGTAAACTAAACATGAGAGTTCTCTACGGGTTCTCTTTTACATTGTGAAAAAAATATATCATATATATATATGAAACATTTCAGACTTTTTTTTATATACTACATATTGGTAAAGAAAATGAGCATACAAAGCACAATTTTTGGATCTAGTACTGCAACTATGCTAAAGTTCTGTGACCTGTCCTTCCATCAGAAAACATTTGTAATTTACTAGGTTTTGAGGTACAGGTTCATCACCCCTATTCCCACTTGTAACAATTTAAAATTATTACATTAATGCATGTTTAGTGCATGCAGTGGTTTTTCTCCTTAATTAGTTATTTTACAAGTTACAAGTTAATTTATGATGTATTTAGCCATCTAAGTTGGAGAAGTGTAACCTTCAAAGGCACAAAGGTAGGGCCCTGAGAGGTGATTGTCCAGACAGTCAGCTGTGATATTGTATCACAAGAAAGAAGACCAGGCAACTCACCTGCTAGTACTACCTACCTCCTGGCTGCTGGCAGATCCATTTCTGCTTTTTTCTCAAGGCTTTACAAGCAATTCTGTATTTTTCCCCTTCCAGGTACAAACTGGGTGGGTCAGATCTTAAGCGATCTGGTAGCCACATTTGAAAAGAAAACGCAGGGTGAAGAAAGTGTTAATGCTGAAGACCTAGAAGAATTCCCCTACCTTGAAGTTGGAGATGCTGGGAAATTTGAGGTGGGTACAGAATACTTATTAAAATTGTAAAAATTTGGTGCTTCAAACACTGAATATATGGCATGTGAAATACTCCACTCTTTGATAAGAACTCTTCCATGTCTCTGTAGGCTGCATCTGGCCAGGCTGAAACTCATTTATGTTGCAAAATGCTGAGGGATAAAGGGACACTCTACAGGGCCTGAGAGGAGCACATACTCATTAGAAATACAAGCACTACAGAAATTTGGCGTAGCATTTTCTGTATTTATGAAGAGTTTCATGAAAAGTTGAATATTGAAAGAATGACTTTTGTCTTTTCTACTACCTCTTCTTTATCCCCCCTTATCTCTTGGGATTATTCAGCTTTCCCATGCTCCTGGTTAGATTCTGGATATTACCTTTCAGTTTCATACCTTGTCTAGCAGAACATATTAAATTCATTATCACTAAAGAGAATTAGTAATGGCTAATCTTCCTTCCAAATGTTCATTCTCAGGGGCTTTTGAAGATTATTGCTACTCAGGGTAGTCTGCTAAGATCCCAGGATAACACTCATAAAGCATAAGTGTTTCTGATCAGCCAAAAATTGTTGATAAATTTAGCAAATTAATGTTTTATCACAGGCCAATGGAACAGAATACTTGTAGTAATTGAACTGTCTACTTTCTTCCTTCCAATTCTTAATAAAGCGAATGAACAAGTTACCTTCTCGAAGAGTTATATTTACTCATCTCCTTCCTGACAATCTTCCCAGGTCTATCTTCAAAAGTAAAGCCAAGGTGGGTGATGATTTGAATGTTTTGTAAGCAAACACTCCTACAAATGCTTTTGAAAGCTAATTTAGTGCTTTTAGGCCAAATTTCAAAATCATTCTTATACTTACATAGTGTTTAGCCTGACCATTTTTACTTGACTGATAGCTACCCTTTATCTCAGTAAGTCTCAGTTCATCCTTACAGACACATTTGTTTCAGTATCCACAAGGCAGGTGTGGGGGCAAACAAAACCTCCAGCAGTAAAAAAATGTATTTGTATACAACTTCCTATGGAAGGCTTTCCACAATGTTGTTACAAATGCATTAAGTTCTGGAGAGAATATGTATTTGTGTGATTTTTTCCTCTCTATCTAAATGATGAATAATACTCGTATTGGGCAAATCATACTTAGATTCTGCATAATTAATTTGATTAATCTGGAAAAGATATTTTGATAGCTATAGGCAATCATACTCACAAGGTACTGAAGTGAAGCAAAATACTTCACTTACTGGATTTAGAAAAGAATTGTTACTACTGCAAATAGCGTATGACATACTAGAAATTCCTCAGACTGCAGTTCTAAAGAAGAGTATTTTTTTTTTTTTAATACTATGGCTTGTTATTTTTCACTGTAGAAATAAAATGTTTTTATTTTGTAGATATTGCTGTTGATTCGCAATCCAAAAGACGTGGCTACATCTTTTTATCATTTTTCCAATGGCATGTCTCTTCTTCCTTCCTATGAGACCTGGGACGATTTCTTCATAGCTTTCATGACAGAGAAAAGTACAGTATATTCTTTTATGTAAATTATCCAATGTTTTGACTTTGTCTAAAAACCTTGCATTTTGTAAATCAGAGTCACTTGCATTTTTTTAGTTTACAGCAAACAGAGCAGTGATTAAGGAAACAAAGTGAGAAATTTGAAGTGAATTTTACAGTATTTGTCTTACTGACTGAAGACAGATATTCATCAGAACTGCACTTACACAAACTGCTTTAATTTGCACAAACTGTTATTTTTGCTGGAAGAAGCAGTTCCTCTTTATCTTGCTCTTGGATCCCCTTCACCCCTTCTCCTCTCCACTGTCCATTATCCTGTGCTCACACAGACATCTGAACACCAGCTTGCCAAACTGGCAAAAAAGAATAAAATAACCCCACTAGTTTAAAACTGCATAAATTCTCCAGTTTTTGTGTTGCACAGAAATGCACAGAAATTTTGTTGCACAGAAATGGAAAGAAGCAGACAAGGTAGGATTTGCTTAAAACCAGCCACAGTAGAGAGGAGCGTTTCTGTGAAGGTGTTTGCAGAGGTTCTGAGCCAGACCCCCAGCTCCCTTGCTGGCCCTGGTGTGAAGGCAGATCCTTCAGAGCCACACTGGACTAGCTTTGGTCCAGAGACTATGACAGAGATTGGAACAGTCTGGAGCAAAACCCCATAGATCCCATAAAGAGGGATTTATGGGGTTTATCCCAGAAGGGGGTAAACTCAGGCATAAACATAATGGCTACGGTGGAAGGATCAACCCAAGGACAAAAAAATGTTTAATATAATAAGGAGCTTGTCTAATATTATTTTATTCTTCATCTTAGGATTATTTTGTTTTATTTAGTGCCCTGGGGATCCTACTTTAATTATCTTTCTGAATGGAACAAGTATGCTGCTGATGAAAATGTTATGACAATAACTTATGAAGAACTAAAAGAGGTGAGGTTACCTCTTGAGGTAACAAGTATTTTATACTTCAAAGAACAATTGTTCCTAACCAATAAACCATTATATTCATATAGTGTATTCAAACTGCATGATACATACAGTATGAGACAGATTATTGTTTTAGGAGAGGGTAAGATGAAATTCCAGCTTAAAAACTTTTTTATATATATTTGTGTGTGTGCACGAACATGATTCTTGTTTTCTCTTTAGCTGCAGCATCAGCCCAAATCATTGTAAATCAAAATCCTCAGTAATTATTTTTTGGAGCTTTTATAGCTCCAAATGGTGTAGATTTGTCTCAACTGTAAATTATACACAGCCTTCTGTAATCTATAAGAATACAGCTCATATCTTATCTGAAAAAGTAACAGAGAATAAAAACACTAGACACCATTCCAGTCTTGATAAACTCTGAATACTCTATATATGCAGCTAACAGAGGCATGCAGGGCCATGAAAACATCTTGAAAAAAAAAAGAAATGTAAGCTGTTTGAATGTCATGTGGTATGTTGCCTTCCTCTTTTCAGAATCGGGCCCTGGGAGTGAAAAATATCGCTGCTTTCTTTGGGATTTCTCTGACTGAGGAAGAGCTTCAGGGTGTGGTGGAGAGGAGCAGCTTCCAGTCCATGAAGGAGAACTCGCTGAAGACCCACGGGGCGCTGGGCAGCATTCTCTTTCGCAAAGGTAGGGAGCTCCAAGAGGCCCAGAGGCAGAAACATCACGCTGTCAAGAACTAGTCAAGGAGCATTCATGAGGAAGGGACTGCAGCCATCATGGGAGAAGCAACAGCACACAGCAAATTTTAGAGGCCCACAGATGGCTGGCAGGAAGGAGTAGTCTTGTGTCTGAATTACTTTCCCTCTATTGGCCAAGAGTCTTCCTCACTGAGTCTTCTTCAGCCACCAGATGCTTACCTGGGGAGGGCAGGCGTTTTAAAAGAAAGGGGCCAAAACTCAGCCTAAATTTTTGAGAGAGTGTAAGTGCCCTGAAAGGGCCACTGTCAACCCCTTGTTCATGCTAACAAGTTAGAGAAAAGACAAGGATCCAAGAATTGGTAATAGAGAGAAGCAAGATAGTAGAAGACTACTTTTGTAGTGCAGTGTAGGTGATGCAGATGTGAGAGGGCTAACTTGGTTGTCAGAATCTATTTCTACATTTGACATTAAAGGAGTCACTGAATAAAATCAGAAGCTGACAAGGGAGCACAAACCCAGTTCTGCCTCCAGACAGACGATTCTTAATCAGTCCTTCCTGATCTTCCATTTTGTCAGTCATAATTGACTCTGGAGTAAAGAGCTGCAGAAAAATAGGACCTTATGCTGTTTTTCTTTTTTTCTCCAATAATTTCTTTGCTTCTTTGAAGGTGGTGTAAGTGACTGGAAGAGTCTTTTCAGTGAAGATCAGAATGAGAAAATGGACAAAGCATTTGAAGAACATATAGCAGGAACTAAACTGGGGATGAAGTTAAAGTATGACGTGTACTGCAAAGCCTGAAGAGCGATTAAATGTGGTTATAGGAAGAGCTTTCCACTGCACTTTCAGATCATCTGAATAACATATATTAGATAGCTGGAATGATCCAAGAATCTTGGAATTATTGTAATAATCACATTAATCACACTGCAGCAGCCTTTACAGCGAGAGTGATGAATAGTTGTTTTGTTGTTGTTCGTTTTTTTCTTTTGTTTGTTTGTTTATTTTTCTTTTAATGTGAGATCTTTGGCTTACTTTGGCTACGTTTATTTGCTGAATACGATGATAACTAACTATATTCAAATAAACCTGACAGCCTTGTTTCAGTAGCTATCACTGGAAGGAAATGGTCCTTTTGTGTTTCCAGCCAAACAGTCATTCTAGACTATTTAGAAATTATTTAGTATATGGAGATTTATTTTTTTTTCCAAAACTTCCTCAAGTTAGGCAACATCTTCATGATTAAGATAACTAGCAAAATATGGATCTGATGCAACCTTAAGTAATGACAAAGGATATCTTTCCTGTGACTTCAGGACAAACGCGATGAAAGCTAGAAGAAATAGAATAAAGAAGCATGGAGATCAGCATTTTTAAGTATTTTAATGTCTTTGAATGCAGAATTTCAATCTGGAATTCAAATTACAGACTGGTATTAACAGCCATGATCCAATCATAGGCACTGGTTTTACATATGACCACAAATAATTATCTCTGTGGAACACAAAAAAAATCCCTATTTTTTTTTCTCATATATAAATTTGCACTTGCTTCACTGAAACCAATGTTTCTATCTGTATAAAGGTTAGTAAAAAGCAAAATTGTGATGTTAATACTTGTGTAATTCTGGCATCAGACAGGTTCTGAAATTACACCAAAAGAGAAGCAACTTAGATCAACAGCTTCATATGTAGAGATAGCAACTTAAATGGGTTATGTAATGTGATTAAAGTACTGAGAGTAGATTTGAGTTCCTAGAAATCCAAACAACAGTCATAAAATGCATCTAAAGGCAGCAACACTTGCAGGAATTTCCACTTGTTTACATGGCTGTTATGAAACTAATTGCAATAGTTTGTTCAAGGTACAACTTTGTAAACTGGATCAGTACAAAACTGGGAGGACAGTTAAAGCAATATCCTTTAGTGGAGAGGCCTGGTTGTATTCAACATTATTTTGACAAATTAAGAAGAAGGTTGGAAAACATAAAGTTCAGTAAAGGTAAGTGTGAAAATACAAACAAACCAAAGGCTGAAGTACTTAATGGGGGAAAGCCAGTAAGAGTGAATTGTGAGAAAAGACTTGAAGAATCACACTCAGCAAGGATTAATTTGGTGAAAGTGCTGGGGGGGGGGGGGGGGGGGGGAAGTCAAATCTTATTCTGGTTTACAGTAAAAGGAGGTTCATACATAACACAGGCAGTAATTGTTAAAGCCACTGGTTGCAGGTCATTCTAAACTTGAGAATGCTGCTGCTTAGGGAGGCCATGAAAAGTTTTAAACAATCATCTAATGGGGAGAAGATTGGCATACTCAATAAATCAGATATGCAGGTGTAGGACTAGAAAGTCAGATCAAGTCCCTTCCACATCTATACTTCTGGGTATTTCGATGTACAGCAGATTAGCTATTCATGTTCTTACTGATGCCCTGAACAAAAGCACCCAGGACCTTGTTTGTGTTAATTATTCTTGCATTAATTAAATCAGCACTGAACACTATAGTTCACGGAGCTGGCAAAACTCTATCAAGTCTGGCTTCCTTTTGTGACTTTTTTTCCTCAGTTGTACCCACACCAGATTTTAGAGTTACCTTCCTCATTCTCACTGGCTGAATCTTACTGTAGTTTAATGGCAGCTTTGGAGTTTTCAGACAGATACTGCACAAGAGCCTTGATTTGCACTGAGACTTTCCAAGCACACCGGGATTTGAGAAGTAAATGTAAGTATCACATTTACTTAGTAAGGGGAAGCAGTTGAGCTTCAAATAGTATTACCATTGCAGCACTATTGGATGAGAGATTACGTATGTGGTTGTTATTGAGCCTCACAGGCTCTGGGAACAATCTCTGCAAAGACTGGATGCTACAGTGCTCACAAGGGATGCTGTATAGCTGCTACTCTGTTAAACTAATTAGATTAAAACTAATTTGAAAGCACCTGGTCTGAAATAAATTGTAGACATGCCCTTGCTTATCTGATGGAAAACCAGCCAATGACCTGTTTATGTAGTTTATCCTCTCCTGTGTTATCCCAAGGTTAGGGGTTCAATTACTGTCTGCCCTTAAAATCTCACCCTATCTATTTTATAGCAGTAACACTTCAGGTGCTTTTGCTTCATTAGAGATGCTCTGTGGGCCTTTGCATTCAACAGGGTAAGGATGTGTGTGAGGGGAAGACAGAGAAGGCAAGCAGCCACGTTGGGCAATGAATGTGGACAATAGGACTTTTTGCAATGATATAACTTGTCGAGATACATATTTCTCCATCTTAGTACTACTTATCTTCTGAAAAGGCAGCAGCCAGAATATCAATAACTCCCCCACTAAGAACGTTTTCACCCAAAGATTAAATTATGGCCAAGTATAGACACAAAAAGAACTAATGTGATACAGGTGAACTTGATTCATGTTAATGCAGAACCTAACTATTAGAGTTTCACATGAAATCAATGCTTCTGGAGGATATGGTGAAGTAGAAGGTCTTGAATGTGAGTATTCAGTCATGAGAAGTATGGCTTAGATGGTACAAGTCCCTAGTGCTGAATATATTACCTGGAGTGATAATATTACAATAATGGGCTGAAGATAGCACTGGCACCTGAAACAAAGTTGGACCCTTGGGTATCCATCCATTAGTGAAGTCAATACCAAAGTAGGCTGAGATCCACTGCTCTCATGGTTATGCTGGTTATCTAGTTTGCAAATTGCACTATGTAGCTCAGCAGTTAAAAATATTTAAAGTAGTATCTTACAACACTTATAAGTCTCTCCCTGATTTCACGCAATATTTTGAATGCTAGCAGTATTAACTGGAATTGCTGTCCCAACAGCAATGCTTTGCAGAGAACAGACTACTGGTGCTGGTATCAGGCATGGCAGAGAGACTCCATGTCACTACTGTGAGTCTCCTGTCCTGCAGTTTCGAAAGGAGGTAACAGAGTACAAATGGAGTTAATCAGTGACATGTATCTTAATCTCTGAGTGAATGCCCTTTCTGATTTCCTAACACACTGTATAAAGTTCTTCTGCATTGTGGAAAGACAGTCTGTATCTCTGCTTGAAAAGAATTCCACAGGGATACAAGCATGAGCAGAAATAGAGAAAGAGTCATTGAAGCAGTGGAAAGTTGCTTTTCAGAGAATGAAAAGACTTCCCCAGAAGATATGCTGTTTACTTACAAAGGTATTTTGTATCCTACTGCATTTAGCAGCGCAGAAACTTTGGAAGCTCTGAAATCCCTTGAAATCAGGAGCGACGATGTGATTCTAGCAGGCTATCCTAAAACAGGTGAGTGTTCACTGGATAAATAGTCAAACATGCAATGCTAAAATCCAGAATCATGTGCCTTCGTTTAACGCAGCAATAATACCTGAGAAAAGCTTATGGTGACACCATTCTCCATAGGATCATGAAATTAAGTTGTAAGGCATCTCTGGAGGTCTTCTAACCCAACCTCCTTCTCCTCCATGCCTTTTTTTTTTTTTTTTCTTCCCCAGCCTGAGCAACCCAAGCCTTTCCATGTGTTTCACTTGCTGCAGCTCGCGGTGGTTTCAGGGGCTTTCAGCAGGACCCTCCTCTGATTCTCAAAACTTCTTGTGCTTCAGTGCATGAACTGCATGCTGTGTGCAAGTGGTGAAATCACCAGTGTTGGATAAAGCACAATAACCACATCCCTTGACTTTCCGAACACAGTCTTGTTAGTACAGGAAAATATGTTGTTACCCTACTTGCTGCAAGGGTAATACAGGGACTATTTCCTACTAACGAGGGCAGAATAGCAGTGTTTCCACAAATCTACTACATTGCACAATGCAAGTAATTCCCATGCACCTAACTGGAGGAAAAAGGAATGCTACCAGGACTCTTAAGTTGTTCCCTTTCACGTGGACATTTTGGATTCCTTCACATTTGTCTCTAATCACTTTGGAGAGATACATTAACAGGTCATATACAGAAAGAGGAGTTGGTGATTCTTATTACATTGACTTTGAGTGCAGCCTGCAGAGCTGTGCATGGGCAGAAATAGTTTAGAGGTGTGAGGGTCCACCTACACGTCCCAGAAGAGGTTAGATGAAAACTGAGAATTGGTTATTTGAGCCCAGTGCCTCACATACCAGCTGTGTCAGGTCGCAGAAGCCAAGACAGCTGAGCCTGGTGCAAAGATGCTGTCAAAGTTTGACAGTCTTTTGGTTTGGTTGAAGAACCCTTCTTCAGTTTGTTATGGGAGCCTAGCTGGGGGCTGGGTATGAGACCAAACTCTGCTGACCAATAAAAGGCTGAAAACTGAAGCTCCTCTCAGCCAGGCTGACAGGAAAAGGTGGAGATGTGTGGCCCAGGACGGACGTTCTCCTGCTATCTTTTTCATTTCAGGAACCAACTGGCTTGAAGAAATGGTGAGGGAGCTGGAATCAGCAGATGCTAAATATACGGAAGATGAAATGAAAGAGAGAATAAATGCTGAAAAGGAGCTACAGATGTTTCCACGTCTAGAGTTTGGAGATCCTGGAATATATGAGGTGGGCAGGGTTTCGAAATATTGGCAATACTCTTGCTACAGGTAGTAACGGTTGAAAGACAATGTCTAATCTCAGGAGCAATAGACGACTTCAGAGTAGTAACAAGTGTTAGGGTCAGTGCAAAGAGCATGTCCTATTGCCCCTGGTGTCCCAGTGCAAGGGTCTCAGAACACCAGCCAGCGTTGGAGGCCTGGGGTCTCCAGGCCTGGAGCCAGTTGGTTGGATCTGTAAGACTGTTCTTGTGGGTGTCCTGTCCTCAGACCTGTCTCATGTGAAGTGATGCTCTGTGGCAGAGGCTAGCAGAAGCCTACATGTATGCCGCCAGTGCCTGGGATTTCCCAAGGGATAAGATACCTCTTGTCTGGTCTTAAATTTTCCTGTTACCCATGACTCCTGAAAAGGCTCACTTCAATGAATAAACTACTTCTGTCCTATTTCTCCCACCTTCCTTAAAGAGGATGAAGAAACTGCCTTCCCGAAGAATCATTTCAACCCATCTGCATCCTCATCTCCTGCCCTTCTCCATCCTCCAAGGAAAGGCTAAGGTGAGTCTTCTCTTTGTGTCACACTGCAAAAGCATTTCCACCTCAAGCTAGCTTTCCTCTG